GTACTTTGCTTTGGAGGTTTTGATTCCCAGTTGTGGTGTGATTTATGCTTTTTCGTTCTGATTTGGATTATGCTCCTGCTATCTACTGTATCTTGTCAATTTTTAGGATCTGTTTTTTCACAAGTTACGGATTTGGGGAATGCTATGCTGCCCAGAATTGGCTTGACTGGAGCAGCTCATAAGCCCCGTAAATGAAAATAAAAGCTCGTGGCAAAAGGGAGAGTTTCTTACCTTGTTCCAGAGCCTTTTGCTTGAATGTTTCCTGGCTTTTGTTTCAGTCCCATAAAAGCCACAAACTGACACTGTGAGTGATCAGAAAAGCCACAGAATGTGCCGCTCGCTCGTCATGCTGCAGGTTAAGTGTGCCTTTGTTCATCCCGTCAAGCTCACAGCGTGCATAAAAACATTTTTAAAAGCGTGGTGGTGGGGAAGGTGAGCGCATGTAACCTTTTTCTTTTAAGATGCAAAGTGGACTTTAGGACAAGCTCTTTCAGCCAGGCTGGAGTTGATTGCAGGAAATAAATACGCTCGCACCCACCTGGACCAATCTTGAATGGAACGGTGGTCCCCCCCACATGCCAACCATCTTCCATTTACATCAAAGAGAAAACAGCTGGTAGAAACATTACTGATTGGGCGTCCTTTGTTCCTTTTCTTAGCACAACCTGTGGACTCAGCCAGAGTGGTTTATGGCATAGTGTTACACGTAAGCGTGGCTAAGTAGGATGATTGAATTATTGAACAAGCCATCCTCCTTCCCTTCCTCGCCCCATAATAAGTGCATAATCCAGAAAGAATAAATAAAGTAAAATGAAGTGAGGTGAGGTGAAGTAAAATGAAATGAAATAATACAATAAAATCAAATCCCATTTTAGCAGCCACAGGAAACTTTAAGGGAACTCATGCCTGCCCCCAAGCCTGCTGTGTGGCTTCAGTGTGGCTGGGGAGGGTGAAAACCTGTTTCTGGGAGGGGTGAGCGAAAAATGCCATTGGGTGGACCCCAAGTCACCCGGCAGAGGCGCCTGAGGCCTGGAGGTCACCCCAGCTGCCCATCTCAAGGAAGCTGGCACCTAGTCGCCCTGCTGGAGGTGGAGGATCACTTTGGAAGAGAACAACAGAAGAGAATCTCTACTGCCTTTTCCTCAGCACCAGCTTCTCAGTAGCTTTGGGTTCCAAGAGGAAAGCGCAATTATCAAATCTGCACACTGATAAATCTGTTCCTGTTTCTTCACCCTTTTTCACTGTGCACCATCAAGTCACTGTCGACACTTCGCAGCCACACAGGTTTTCTCCAGGACGATTTTTCTCCCTTGCCTTCCCGTTATTATTGTACTATAAGAGGAGTTGGGATGTTCAAAAGGCAACTGACTCCTCTCTCTAAGCGTAAGCACCCTTTGCATTTAAAAACAAAATGCAAATGCGGTTTGTTTTTAAATGCATTTGCAATGCATCCCCCCCCCACCCCCCAGGAACAAAAGCTGGGCCTGGTCTCCCAGCTCCCTGTTTTATCTTTGCAACTGCCTGGTGAGGTAAGCTTGGCCCAGAGAAAGCAACTGATCCAGGAACTGCCCGCGGTAAGCTGACATGTCCGTCCAGCTCCCTTTTTAGCAACTGCAAAGCTCTCCAGAGAAGCCCCCCTCTGCACGGTCCCTCCAGCGCCTGGTAAGGCAACTGCAAACGTGCCAGGCACCAGCCTCTGTTCCCCGCCTCTGGGGATCTGCGGGGCAAAGTCCAATCCTGCCCTGGACGCAGCTGGAGCGAATGCCTGGTCTCTCTCCCGCCCAAGAACTGGAATAATCCTGCAAAGGTCAGTACCAGAAATCAGATTTCCTTCGCCTCCCTCCTTACTTTTCTCTGACTGCTGTGTCTGTTTTCCTTCACACACTTTTTGGGTGGGCTTAACTTCTCCAGCTACTTTCGTATCAACCGCGTTTTCTGGTCTTCAGCACTGTGCAAACGGAGAGGAGTCTCAGCTGTTCACGTTGCCCGTTTTTCTTGTCTTCCCTCTATAAAGTCCCCAAGCCCCCTTGAATGCTAATCTTAGTTCATTTTAACTTTGGTGTTTTTTGGGGGGGGGGAGAAGTGGCTTAGCTGGGTGAAGCTGGCTCAGAATTTCCTGCAAATGCAGAAAAATGGGTGAATTCGGTAGCGGAGTTGTACAGTTGCCTCAGTCGCAAGTCCTCCGGTTCACACATTTTACGAAGAAACCAGAGTGTGGCTCTTTGGTGTCCCCTTCCCACGTGCCAGGAGCTCAGCCGTTGCGGTTTGCAAACCAGGCTGGGTGGCTCCGTGTTTCGCCCCACCACTTAAAACACTCATATCACATTAGCCCTTAGAAGAGAGTCCAGCCCCTCTCAGACCTCCCCAGTTATTGCAAACAGCTGAAAGGGCTTCTGTCTCTGATACCCATGAAGTTCTTGGCCGGGTTTGCGCCTTTTCAACTAGGTTACCGAGTTAACTCATCAGTCCTATAGCGGCAGTTAGGAACGAATCAAAAGGCCTGGGTTTGTATAGCATGAAAATACTAAGCGAACATTTAAACCAATCAAGGTTAGCCTGTTGTGTGAATGCAGCCACCGGGCCTTTCAGTAACCTGGTACGTGTGGATGTAGCAAGCGGTTCTCCAGGAGGCCAGCCTCTGCTTTCCGACTGTAACCGAGCGGATACCGAAAACGGTACGCGCACTTCATCAGATACACGTGTCAGGGAGGTGACCTTGCAAAGCAGCACCGGTTGAGCGTGCCCGGAGGGTGAAACGTGGAAGGGAGCGTTGCACCCTGTCCGGATAAAACAGATACCCAAAGCTCGGGAGGAATGCTGATTGCAAGCGTCTCCCGCAACTGCATCAGCTCATACAGGCAAAGCGGGCTGGGGCGCTGCGCTCCGCGCTTCGGACCCACAGCAACGTGAGAAGCCTCCCGAGCGCGTGCACGGGGCCCGGACGGCAGCAAAGCGGCTCAGCGCTTCGGGGCGACCCGTCTTAGGGACAACCGCACCCCCCCGGCTCGGGGGCAGCCTGCCTCGCGCGGCCTTCTGGGGGCTGTAGTTCTCCGCCGGACTCCGCGCCGAGCGCAGCGCTGCAACCCGGGGAGAGGCGGACTCCATTTCCCAGCCTCCTCTGCGGGACTTTTTTTTGGCAGCTGAGCCATTCGGAAGTTCGGGCC